TAGCGCAGCAGCCTTACCAGTACCAATACCTGGGTCAGGCGGCACACTCAGGTAACAGTCACCCTCAGCACTAATAGTCAATGCATACATGGCAGCAAGGATAGCATCATAATCAAGAGCAAAGACATCAATCCCCTTCCTAAGCAGATCAGCCCAGCGAGGCAGCTCAGAGGCGTCAGGGAACTGCTCGCGCCAGGCGTCATCGAGGCGAGAGAAGCAGCGCTGTGTCGGGTGGAACCTCCCACAAGTCTGGCCAGCGCGATCACCTGTGCGGATGACGTACGAGCAAATGCCCCCACCCCCAGACCCCCCACGCTGAGAGTACCACTCACGAAGCTGCTGGGGCGAGGGAGTCTCGCCAGGACGCTGCTGCGGCTGCCTCTGGCCACCTCCGAACCCCCCACGCTGCACCGCTCCACCGCGCCCGCCACCCGCTCCACCACCGCCACTACTGCCACCACCTCCTCCACCACCCCCACCCCCACCACCGCCGCCGCCGCCACCACCCCCTGCACCGCCACTGACCCCCCCACCACCCGCGCCACTCCCACTTCCGCCACCACCCCCGCCCCCCCCACCCCCTCCACCGCCGCCACCCCCACCCCCACCACCTCCACCACCCCTGCCCCCCTTGCCCTTGCCGCTCTTGCGCCTCCCACCGGGAGCAGACGCAGTCCCGACTCCCTCAGCACCGAGGTAGTCGACAGCAGCAGCAGATGCAATGGAGGGGAGGAGGGGGGAGGGGGAGCACCCCTCAAAGAAGGGGGTGCGGGGGTCACCACGAGAGGCACCTACAGCTACAATACTCTTCTCAGCTGCTAGGAGTTCCTTCTCGAGGAGGTCGACAGTGAGGTCAGTGGGGGAGAGAGCGAGAAACTGGTCCCTGACAGTGCGAAGGGAGTCAGGGAGGCGGGTGACAAGGTGGTACAGTGTGAGGTACATCGGGGGGGAGCGCGGCACGGTAGCGGAGGTCACTGGTACGGAGGTGGGTGATGAGGTCAGCGACAGTGGCAAAGGCGGACAGGTCGGGAAAGAGGTAGGGCAGTGAGAGACGGCCTATAGTAGCAGTGGCAGGGGAGGAGTAGCGCGCGACTACGGCGTCGTACAGTTCCTTGGCGGTCTTATGCTGGCCAAAATGCTCGCGCTCATCTAACGGCAGGTGGCTGCGAACGGCTAGGCGAGCGTGAGCGTCACGGGTCTGCCACTGCGAGCGCAAGGTGCTATCAGCATCGGCAGCAGGAGCGGGAGCGGCGCCAGACGTGTGGTCATAAAGAGAAATATCGTCCTTGGCGGTGATCTGAAGGTAGAGGTGAAGGTCATCGAGCCAAACATCGAACTTAATAGGACGACCCTCAGCGTCAAAGGTAAGCACAGTAGGACTGGCCATAGTAGCAGTAGCAGGAGGAGGAACAGTAGCAGCAGGACCAGTAGCAGTAGGAGCAGTAGCAGGAACAGTAGATGCTGCAGGTGGGGCACAGCAGGGCGGCGCGGCTCGGTCAGGGCGGCGCGGCTCGGTCCAGGCGGCGCGGCTCAGTCAGGGCGGCGCGGCTCAGTGAGGGCGGCGCGGCTCGGTCTGGGTTGCGCGGCGCGCGTGGACAGGCAGGGCGACGCGACGGCGGGCCTGGGCGGCTGCGGCGGCTGTGCGCGGGCTGCAGTTGCGCGCGGGCGGCGGTCTACAGCAGCGACGCGGCGGCCTACGGGCGGCTAGCGGGCTGCTCGTGGGCGGCTGCGGCGGTGCGGGCGGCTGCTGGGTCGCGCGCGTCAGAAACAGGCCGCGCACGGGCGGCTAGCGGGCTGCGCGGGCAAAAAACGGGCCGCGCGCGGGCGGCTAGCGTGCGACGCGGCCAAACAGCGGGGCGCTCGAGGGCGCCCTAGGAGCGAGGCGCACGAGGGCGCAAGAACGAGAAGGTGCACGAGGGCACTACTGACGGAACGGTGGGCCCATAGATCGATCGGTCCTAGGTTCCTCATCTAGGCTCGTAATACCATGTCAGAATGAGAGAAGTGTGTGCACTATGAGAAGATGGGAGTACAAATACAAAACCCTAGAATTGTGTACCCCCTAAAGGCTAACCCACTGTAGCCTACACAGCAACAACACAAGTATAATGTTTGACATGGCAAACAACAGGGGAAACGGTAATCTCCTGAAATTACACTGAGGCATCAGAGTTGCTTACAAGATTACTCTGACAAATCATAGGAAAAGTAACTCCCAAAAAAATTACCCAACAAGTACAGAGTACCCTATCAAAAACCACTCGGATTTTCAGAGAAACAGAGAAATTTACTCTGATAAAAAAAACCCCTGCTCCTCACGAGTCACAACAATTATCCAGCCCTGGGGCATTACCACCTGTCTGCAAAATCAAGATTGCTTTAGAAAGGCAAAGCACTAGTGATGAACAACAAAATGCAGTACATACACAACTATACTAGACAGTGTTCCCAACCCACAAAATGAGCCTATTGCTCTGTACATACACCCACCCAAAGGTGGATTACCTGACCTCCAAGCTGAAATATGCACAACAAATCCCCTCCGGACAAGCCAGAGATCTTCTAAGGATACCCCCTTCAGAGCCGTTGACAGACTGAGCCAACACACCACCATAACCAGCAGGAACAGTCTTCATAGCGGTAGTGGCAGCAGCATCAGTAGCAACAGCAACAGAAGCAGCAGTAGCAGCAGCAGCAGGAGAACTGCTACAATCCAGCAAAAGCAGCCTCCACCTCTCTCCCACTCCCACCAGTACTCCCCCTCCCCCACTCGGAGGTGGCCAGGTGGAGTGCAGAGGCCTTACTACCCTCAACTCAACTCAACTCAACTCAACTCAACTCAACCCATCCTCCTCCACCTCCCTCCCACACCCACCAGTACTCCCCCTCCCCTCCCCCTCCCCCCTGCCCCTCACCCCCTCTCCTTCATCCCTGCCCCCCTCCCACTCACCACCATCCCGGGTGCGGGAGGGGGGAGCAGGGGAGACATGGAGGTGGGTCATGAGGCGGTGGAGGTCCACAGCAGTCGTCCAGTACTCGGGGTGCTTGCCACTCCACCGCGTCACCCTCCCGTGCCGGCCCGTGCCGCCCCACACCAGCGCAAAAGGCCGCCATTCGTCGCCCTGAGTTTCACTCACTCCTGCGTCGCGTGCTTCAGCCCTGCTTCCACCTCCCCCTCCACCTCCCCCTCCACCTCCCCCTCCACCTCCCCCTCCTCCTCCCCCTCCTCCTCCCCCTCCTCCTCCCCCTCCACCTCCCCCTGCACCTCCCCCTCCTCCTCTCAAGTCCTCTTGCCCTGCTGTGTTTCCTCCACCTGCAACCTCTGCTCCAGCCAACGCCCCCTCTCCGTCCTCCCCATCCCTCCCTAACTGCCCCTCTGCCCTGCTGCTCACCCCACCAGCACCCTCTCTTCTTTCCCTACTGCCCTCTCCCCCAGCACCATCGCTAGCCGCAGCAGACTGCCCCCTGCTTCCACTCCCCACTGGCCCACCCTGCTTTTCCCCACCTTCCCCATGCCAGCCCCCCTGCGAGCCTGCCCCACCTACCGCTTCCATGCCGTGCTCTTGTTCGCCGTGCTGCCACCCGTCCGCCTGTGCCGTGTGCACCTCCCCCTGCTGACCTCCTCCTCTTCCTGCTGCTGCTCCAGCTCCTGCTGATCCTGCTTCTGCTGCTGCTGCTCCTCCTTCTCCTGAGACTGCCTCTGGGACTGCGCCTATGCCCCGGACTAACATGCTGCCACCACTCCCACTAGCCGCCCCCTCTCCCGCTCTCCGCTGCCCTCCTCGCCCACTCCCCTGCCCTGCTCCTCCCCTCCCCGCCTCCACTGCCCTGTACAGATACACCGTGCTGCCTGCATCGCCCTCCAGGTCGAATGGCGCCTGGCGCACGGGAAGAGGGGGGAAGAGAGGGGGAGGAAGGTGGGGGAAGAGGGGGGAAGAGAGGGGGAGGAAGGTGGGGGAAGAGGGGGAAGAGAGGGGGAGGAAGGGGGGGGAAGAGGGGGGAAGAGAGGGGGAGGAAGGTGGGGGAAGAGGGGGAAGAGAGTGGGAGGAAGGGGGGGGAGGAGGGGGGAAGAGAGGGGGAGGAAGGGGGGGGAAGAGGGGGGAAGTGCGGCAGGTGGGGAATGGGTGGTGAGAGGTAGGTGCATCAGCCAGCCAGGAGCTAACTCCTCTTCTCCCTGCCTGCACTGCCTGATGGACATATGCCGTGCTGCCTGCACTGCCTGATGGACATACACCGTGCTGCCTGCACTGCCTGATGGACATACACCGTGCTGCCTGCACTGCCTGATGGACATATGCCGTGCTGCCTGCACTGCCTGATGGACATACACCGTGCTGCCTGCACTGCCTGATGGACATACACCGTGCTGCCTGCACTGCCTGATGGACATACACCGTGCTGCCTGCACTGCCTGATGGACATACACCGTGCTGCCTGCACTGCCTGATGGACATACACCGTGCTGCCTGCACTGCCTGATGGACATACAACGTGCTGCCTGCACTGCCTGATGGACATACACCGTGCTGCCTGCACTGCCTGATGGACATACGCCGTGCTGCCTGCACTGCCTGATGGACATACACCGTGCTGCCTGCACTGCCTGATGGACATACACCGTGCTGCCTGCACTGCCTGATGGACATACACCGTGCTGCCTGCACTGCCTGATGGACATACGCCGTGCTGCCTGCACTGCCTGATGGACATACACCGTGCTGCCTGCACTTCCTGATGGACATACGCCGTGCTGCCTGCACTGCCTGATGGACATACACCGTGCTGCCTGCACTGCCTGATGGACATACGCCGTGCTGCCTGCACTGCCTGATGGACATACGCCGTGCTGCCTGCACTGCCTGATGGACATACGCCGTGCTGCCTGCATCGCGCTCCAAGTCTAAGGACGGCTTGCGGAGGGGAGGAGAGGGGAGGGCGGGTTTAGGAGGTGGGAAAGGGGTGGTATGTGTGGCGAGAATGGATGGTTAATGGCAGGCGATTCAGGAAGCAAAGGAGTGGTAAAAAGGATCGGAAGCAAAGGAGTGGTAAAAAGGATCGGAAGCAAAGGAGTGGTAAAAAGGATCGGAAGCAAAGGAGTGGTAAAAAGGATCGGAAGCAAAGGAGTGGTAAAAAGGATCGGAAGCAAAGGAGTGGTAAAAAGGATCGGAAGCAAAGGAGTGGTAAAAAGGATCGGAAGCAAAGGAGTGGTAAAAAGGATCGGAAGCAAAGGAGTGGTAAAAACGATCGGAAGCAAAGAAGTGGTAAAAACGATCGGAAGCAAAGAAGTTGTAAAAAGTATCGGAAGCAAAGGAGTGGTAAAAAGGATCGGAAGCAAAGGAGTGGTAAAAAGGATCGGAAGCAAAGGAGTGGTAAAAAGGATCGGAAGCAAAGGAGTGGTAAAAAGGATCGGAAGCAAAGGAGTGGTAAAAACGATCGGAAGCAAAGGAGTGGTAAAAAGGATCGGAAGCAAAGGAGTGGTAAAAAGGATCGGAAGCAAAGGAGTGGTAAAAACGATCGGAAGCAAAGAAGTGGTAAAAACGATCGGAAGCAAAGAAGTGGTAAAAAGTATCGGAAGCAAAGGAGTGGTAAAAAGGATCGGAAGCAAAGGAGTGGTAAAAAGGATCGGAAGCAAAGGAGTGGTAAAAAGGATCGGAAGAGACGAATGCAGAGGAGAGGAAGATCTCAAGTGGCAGTTGAACGATGGAGAGGAAGATGTCAAGTGGCAGTTAAACGATGGAAAGGTGGGGAGGGAGGAGGGAAAAGCGGAGGGGGCCAGGTGGGGAGGGGGAGAAGGTCTGAGGGGTGTTGGGGGGTGTGCGGGGTGTGAGGGGTGGAGCAGAGAGCGGAGGCAAAGGCGCGATGGCAAAGGCGCGATGGCACTGGACATAAAGTATAACGCACCTCAAACGAGCGGAGGAGTGAGAGGAGGGAGACGAGGAGGGGGAGGAGGAGCGAGAGGAGGAGCGATAGTGGGAGAGGTGGAGGGAGCAGCTGTGTGGAGGAGGGAAGGAAAGAGAGGAGAGGTGACCTCATTGGAGCTGCGGATGAGCAGGTCAGAGGCGAAGGCGCGCTTGCTGTCCACATAGTACTCCACCGCATACGCCATCACCGTGCCGCGTGTGAGGCCCGAGCTGCGCCCCACCTTTGCCACCTGTGCAAGGGGGGTGGGAGGGAGGGGGACGTGGGGGGGAGGACAAGTGAAAGGGTTGAGAAGCGAATGAGCGGAACAGAGTGCATCAAGAAGCACTCGCTGTGAGCATAGTACTCCCATGGCGTATGCCATGATCATTACCCGCGTCACGCCTGAGCTGCGCCCCACCTTCCCTGGCCTGGGGCACGTGGAAGACAGTGGGTCGATGGTGTGTGTGTGTGCGAGCAGCCATGAGAGATCACCGGATGCGGAAAACCCAGGGGAAGCCAAGGAGAAGCCCACAGGAAGACCACAGCCCACCTGCTGTGAGACGAGGGCGGTGACGGGCCAGGCGGGGAGGATGTGCAGCACCGGGCCCACTGCGCCAGGTGGCAGGCCCCTTGGGCGCGCCGTGATGTGGTGCGCGTGAAAGGTGGGGTCGAAGGTGGCGAACGCCCCGTCCACTCTCACCCTGATGTCTGCACGTGGGGCTGTGGGGGGGAGGAGGCAGGAGAAGGGGGTCTGGGCTGGGCTGGGCTGGGCTGAGCTGGGCTGGGCTGGGCTGGGGTGGGGAATGTATTGGGTTGGGTTGGGTTGGGTTGGGTTGGGCGCGATGTGATGTGGTGGGCGTGGATGGGAGGGTGGGAGGCGGCCAACGCCCCGTCCACCCTCACCCTCATGTCTGCGTGGGGGGGGGGGGGGGGGGGGGGGGGGGGGGGGTTGCGACAGGATGGGCAGCGGCAAGGAGAGGAGGAGTGGAGCGGAAGAAATGGCTTGGCAGCGAGCCCATGGCTTGGCAGCGAGCCCATGGCTTGGCAGCGAGCCCATGGCTTGGCAGCGAGCCCATGGCTTGGCAGCGAGCCCATGGCTTGGCAGCGAGCCCATGGCTTGGCAGCGAGCCCATGGCTTGGCAGCGAGCCCATGGCTTGGCAGCGAGCCCATGGCTTGGCAGCGAGCCCATGGCTTGGCAGCGAGCCCATGGCTTGGCAGCGAGCCCATGGCTTGGCAGCGAGCCCATGGCTTGGCAGCGAGCCCATGGCTTGGCAGCGAGCCCATGGCTTGGCAGCGAGCCCATGGCTTGGCAGCGAGCCCATGGGCGTGGCACTAGAGTGTGCGGGTGGGGCCAGAGTTGCATGCAAGGGGCCTGTGTGTCAATGGTGCGATCATGGGAATGCTATGCACGCACTTCCTTTCCACAGCCGCATCCCCGCGTTTTCCCACCTGCTGTGCTCCCTGGGTGACGTGCAAGGGTAGTAAATGCGCTGCAGTGTGTTAGTGTGCCAGACTGCTGGAAACACAAGTCCCATGCCCCCCTTCCCTCCCCATGCCCCCCTTCCCTCCCCATGCCCCCCTTCCCTCCCCACCCCATGCCCCCTTCCCTCCCCATGCCCCCCTCACCGTTTCCCCACCCTGGCCCTCTTTCCCCTTTGTATTCCCTCCCCAGCGCACCAGGCAGTTGGTTGATGTAAAATCCGAACCACTCCAAGTCGCTTCGGAACGACACGACGCGCCGAACCTCCCCGATAGGCACGCCGGGACCGTGGCTCGGGCAGTGCGGGTGGTAGAGGCAGCGCCCCTCCGACATCTCTGGAGAGGTGCCTGCCACGTGGCAGTTGGTGAGAAAGCCGAGCTGATATGGCGCTGAGCTGTCGACGACGATGGGGCCCATGGTGACAAAGGTGTCGTCGCATGCCACCTGGGAGAGCAGTATGCCATGGCGTGGGTGTGGGGGGGCAGGGGAGACGAGGACACGAGGGGCCCACAGGTGTTCACACACCATGTGGATAAAAGTAGGTGCATGATGGGAGGAGTGCATGATGGGAGGAGTGCATGATGGGAGGAGTGGATGATGGGAGGAGTGGATGACGGGAGGAGTGGATGATGGGAGGAGTGCATGATGGGAGGAGTGCATGATGGGAGGAGTGCATGATGGGAGGAGTGGCGGGCGAGACAGGGGCAGGGCCCATGTGCACTGGCACGGCATGATGGCATGTGGATGGGCACCTTTCTTTCTGGAGGTGACGACGGTGCAAGGTGCCAGGAGACTGCAAGGTGCCAGGAAGGAGGCACCCGGAGAAAGCAACGAGGGGGAGGAGGACTGGGACCCACCTACTGGGACTGGGACCCACCTACTGGGACTGGGACCCACCTACTGGGACTGGGACCCACCTACTGGGACTGGGACCCACCTACTGGGACTGGGACCCACCTACTGGGACTGGGACCCACCTACTGGGACTGGGACCCACCTACTGGGACTGGGACCCACCTACTGGGACTGGGACCCACCTACTGGGACTGGGACCCACCTACTGGGACTGGGACCCACCTACTGGGACTGGGACCCACCTACTGGGACTGGGACCCACCTACTGGGACTGGGACCCACCTACTGGGACTGGGACCCACCTGGGACCCACCTGGGACCCACCTACTGGGACTGGGACCCACCTGGGACCCACCTGGGACCCACCTACTGGGACTGGGACCCACCTGGGACCCACCTGGGACCCACCTACTGGGACTGGGACCCACCTGGACCCACCTACTGGGACTGGGACCCACCTGGGACCCACCTACTGGGACTGGGACCCACCTGGGACCTAAGTTGCGGAAGACGCACCTAGGGCTGATTAGACGCTGGGTTAGACGCAAGCCCGCGCAGGCCAAAAAAGCACGGACAGCCAAAAAAACCTTCTATGGGGCATGGGGAGGGGGGGGTATGGACGTAGCTAACATTTGAGGCAATTTCTTCTTGGGTCTTGATTTTTTCCCCCAATTTTTTTTTCCGGCCTGCCCAAAAAATTTCCCCCCTTGCGTCTTGCGTCTCTGCGGGCGTCCTGCGTCCTGCGTCCAGACGCTGCGTCTGGACGCAAGACGCCCTGAGCGTCTTCTGCAACTTAGCCTGGGACCCACCTGGGACCCACCTAGGATGGGACCCACCTGGGACCCACCTGGGACTCACCTGGGACTTACTTGAGCCTCATTGAGACCCCTTCAAGAACCTGATAAGAACTGCATGCGAGCCAAGTTTCCACCTGAGCCACCTAAGAACTCCTCCCCACCTGCTCGCCTTAAAGCCTCTTCACCGACTCGCTTTTGAAGCCCTCCTTCACCCAACTCGCCTTAAAACTCTCCTCACCCGGCTCGCCTTAAAGCCCTCCACACCCGACTCGCCGTTAAAGCCCCACTCACCTGCTCGCCGTTCAAGCCCCACTCACCTGCTCGCCGTTCAAGCCCCACTCACCTGCTCGCCGTTCAAGCCCCACTCACCTGCTCGCCGTTAAAGCTCCACTCACCTGCGAGCCGGGCCCCAGCACGGCACTGCGGCCCTTAAAGCCCTGCTCACCTGCTCGCCTTAAACCAGGGTACACACACATTCAGAAATTGCAAGGGATTGGGTCCCAGAAATTTTGGGGCGAGGGGCGAAATCTGGCTTCCCAGGTTGAACGCACGCCCGTAACGGAGGCATCAAAGGTCAACCTTTGATGGCCACTCAGGTGAACGTGCAGAGTGGTTTTAAAGCCCATCTCACCTGCGAGCCAGGCCCAAGCACGGCACTGCAGCCGCGCAGGTCGTCCACCAGCTCGCTGCTCTCCTCCTCCGCCCTCGCCCTGTCCCGCGCTGGCTGCCAATCCGCAAGGGGGGCGTGCAGAGAGAGGGGAGAGGAAAATGACTGCTGGCATGCTGTGCCCTGGCACGTGCTGCTCTCCTCCTCCGGCATACAGGCGAACTCAAGCACGTCCAGTTCACAAAACAGCGACCCCTTCCCCTTCAACCTCAGCGCGTGCCGCATTCGGGCAGCATTTCAGCAGGGCATGGCGAAGCAGGCGCAGGGAAGAGCAGAGAAGAGAGAATAGCAGCGCAGAGCAAGGCAGCGCAGAGCAGGGCAGCGCAGAGCAGGGCAGCGCAGAGCAGGGCAGCGCAGAGCAGGGCAGCGCACCTGGCGGCCGGGCAGGCAGGCGAACTCGAGCACGTCAAGGTCGCACCACAGCGACCCCTCCCCCTCCAAGTGCGGCGGCAGCAAGCGATCCGGTGGTAACCAGTTGGGATGCACCTGGTGGGGAGGGGGAGAGGGGGAGAGGGGGGAGAGGGGGAGAGGAGGAGAGGGGGAGAGAAGGGGATAGGAAGGGAAAATTAGGGCGAGCGGGGGAGAGGGGAGGGGAAGAGCGCGGGAAAGAGGGGAGCGTAAGTCGCATGAGGGGGTGGAGGGGAGGAATGGCACTGCGAGCAGGAAAAATGGGTTGAGAGGGATGCAGAGGGGAGGAAGGGGGAGAAGGCGGGAGGAGGAGGGAGGAAGGCCGGGGATGGGGAGGAGGGGTGGAAGGAGGGGGCGGGGGGGTAGGAGAGGAAGGAGGAGGGGGGTGGGGAGGGGGGAGAGTGAGAGGGGATGATGGGGGGGGGACTGGGAGAGGGGAGGTGGGGGGAGGAGGGAGGAGGAAGGGGAAGGAGGGAGGAGGAGGGAGGGAGGGAAGAATGGGGAGAATATCAGGAGCGAGACTCTGAGAGGAAGAGGTGGGGAGTTGGCTGAAAAATCAAGAGCAAGACTTGAGGGAGCGAGCGAGGAGGGGGAGGAGGAGGGTGGGGAGGTGTGGGAGCGTGGGAAGAAAGCGTACTAGGGGCGTGAGGAGGGATGGAATGGAAGGGAGGAGTTAGGACGTGGACAAGGGGAGTGGGGAAGAAAGACGAGGAACGCACACGGCAGAGGAGAAAGAAAGCGAAACGAGGGATGGGGAGGTAAGAGGCAGGGATGCGGAGGTAAGAGGCAGGGATGCGGAGGTAAGAGGCAGGGATGCACGGGCGAGAACGGCGGGCCGTTGGAGGAAGAAGCATAGGATGCGGAGCGGAAGAGGAGGAGGGAGGCGCAGAGAGGAGGAGGGGGGCGCAGAGAGGAGGGGGGCGCAGAGAGGAGGGGGGCGCAGAGAGGAGGGGGGCGCAGAGAGGAGGAGGGGGAGGCGAGCGCGGAGGCGGAGGAACCTTGGAGAAGACGAAGGCGAGGATGGCGGGGCGGTCGGTGTACTGGCCGTTGCGGATGCGCACGCCCACTGCCGTCGCGAGCGTCCTCTCCCGCAGCCACTCGGAGCGGCTCGCGCGGATGTCCAGCAGCTCCTGCGCGCCGCACGCGGAGGGATGAGGGTCATGATGATGGGCAGCGGTCGAGGAGAGGAGGTCGCGAGCAGGGAGCGGTGGGTCATCATTGCGAGGCGAAGCGAGTTATTCCCAGAGCACTAAAGCACTACTAAGATCACTATCACGCTATGAACCAAAGAGACGCAGGCGCTACACCGTTTCTGAGCCCAGGTGAAATCGTTCTAGGTTGCGACATTAACCTCAGGTTGCACAGAAACACTTCAAAGCAGTAGGTCTGGAAGTCCGAGTTTAGGTAAACAGGTTTCCCCCCACATCAGTGAATCAGTGATCCGGTACTAGCACTGCAGAATTGGTACTAGTAGTACCTGGATGGTTGTTGCTTGTCCACGTGTGAGCAGAGTAAGCTCTCTTCGAGAGAAATACGCCTGCCTGTCCTCCTCCGAACCTGGAAGCATCAAGAAGCCAGCAAAATGAAAAAGCCACCGCAATTCCACCGCCATGCCCGAAATTCTCCAGGACTCCCAAGTTCAGCCGCGGGTAAAATCAAGAAGCCCCCTGAGATAGACAGACCTGGCTGACTTCTGCCGCCCGTTGTGGGAGTGCTCGAAGGTTCTCCAGTAGGAGCCATGATTCTTCGGCGCGTACGGTCTACAGGTTGAAGCAGCGCGGAGAATCTCGAAGGGCAGTTTCACTGGCGCTACTAGCAGTTAGAAGGCCAACTGGGTTTCTCGGAGGAGGTTTACAGCTTCACAGAAGACGCCAGCAGCACGGCACCGCCTCGTAACGGGCGTGACGCCGTCCCTTTTGGTTCACCGCCAACAGCCCAGTGGATTTCTCTCCATGTCCTTTTTACAGCGAAATCCCAGCCTTTGAGAGCGTGCATGCGCTTGCTGTCACGCATGTTATGCTTCACGAATAAGGCATTCATGCCGTTCATTCGTGTGTAGAACCTTTCTGACATATCAAAAGTCAAGCGTGCGGTGTCCTGCTTCGCGAGAATCGCGTCGTTCCCGACACGATGCATGGAAGGGGAAGAGTCGTGCACTCCCATAAACCGGAGACCATTCGGCTTCCTCGTGAGCTAAAGCACGAAAGCTGCAGCTTTCCACTGCCACCCATTTCACCTCATAGTCAAGTCCCAGAATTGGGCAAGATGCAGGAATGCCAGTACAAAAACTGGCAACATACGATTAGGGTTTCCGGAACCCATGCACAGTGAATCTGGACGTTCTTTCCCTGTTTTGATATATTTCTCTACTTTTCTGCCAACTAATGTTCCCAGCACCCGATGGTGGTGCTGCTTGAAACCCCCAAAAGAAAGGAAGACCCACACAGTTTGTAGCCGCTCTCTGCACAATCTTGCCAGCTATACGCCAGCAATTTCGGGGTTATTTTTCACGATTGGGTTGGGGCTTGTTGTGGTGAAAGTCTACTTCCAGCCAGGCGATCTGGCATGCGCTCTTTGTCAGGTTCCGAAGTCCCAGCCTTTGCCAGCTTGAACTCATGGTTCGGTGAGGAGGACATCACATCAAGTGCACACCTCACAAAACAGTCCACAGCACTGCCTTGACGAAAATTCTTCGGGGGGCATGATGTTTGAAACGAGCCTCCCTTGCCCGGATTAGCTCCCAAAACGAGTTTCTGTGTTGCGTGCTGGCCCGTTCTCGTCCAAGAACTGACCACAGTTCTGACTGGTGGTCAAACTTTCTGTTACCACCCAGTCCGCAGTATCTTCCTCGGCGAAAATGGGTTGGCAAGAGGTCGGAGGACTAGAAGCTTCTAGTCAGCCCTCCAGATACCCAGAGCAGAGCCCATAGGCCCTGTTTTACAGGCAGACGGGACAGCGTGGAAACGGAAACGCTAGAAACCTCGTGGTTTTTTCGGCTTTGCCTCGTCACGCCCAACCAACTCCGGAAACCTCTCCCGTCTCCGTTGAGAGTTTCCCGCTAAAGACAGGGAAGCGAGGGTCTCCCCTGTGTTGTTCTAGAGTGTAGTACCCTGAAGAATTCCGGGATGCAGGTCTAGATTTGAGATCCAAAAACTCGATCGTCAAAAGCCGAAGTACAATCAGACCAGAACTTTGTGAGTTGGGTTTGCTTTAAAACCCGAAGCCTGAATTAAAAAACTGAGTCAACGCTTGGTTTGGTAGGTTTGGGGTTCGGGCAATATTAGGTGCGGCAGAATCGCGAAAGCAAAAAGTTAGCGAAACATGATGCGACTCTCCCCCGATCTGGTTGCACCATCTAAAACGAGTACGATTTACCTTGCCAATGTGTTTTCCAAGGGCATGACAAAGTCTCCTAGAAACATGTTTCCGTTTTCACGCCACTGTGCTTCCCGTAAAAAGGAGGATTCACTTGGCGTGGCAGCAGAAACAAAATTTGCCAGGGCGGGAAGGTGGGTATGTACCTTCTATTTCCCTGTTTCCGTTTCCACGCTGGGTCTGTTATGCAGTCACTTGTTTCCGTTTGGCTCGGACGGAAACAGTCAGGCCTGACAGTCTTTTTCGGGCCGACCATGCTATCGAGCCTAACTTGACTGTCCACGGAATCACCCCGCAGGTTTCCCGAGACGGAAACACTTGCCTGTAGAACAGGGCAGGATGACATTCCTTCCGACCCGACCCATCATCCCCTCTGGGTGCTTTTGTTTTTGTTTATTTCAAACTCGTCAGTGGAGTCTGTAACAGGGCTCGTCCGTAGTTTTGACATGTCAAAAAAGCTAGTGTCTTTTGCCATTTTGACACTCACCAACATTGTTCGCAGCGTGTCATTTTTTCGCACATGTGTTAGCCAGTAAAATTAGTCGGACAATTTCGGCTCTGACAGAGTCGTCGCAGCATCTAATCTGACGAGCCCCTATAGACCAATCAAAATGCGCCGCCCCCTTTCTGAAACCAGAAAGAAAATGCAGGCATGAGCCTGCACGAATCATTTTGGTATGCGAGCCGCTTCCAACGAATGAGATTGCGTCATTGACTTTCGTAATTGTGCTTTGAGTTAACACCGAAAAAAGACACGCAAAAAGAAGCGCGCTTCGGGTTGACACGCATGAACTTGACATGTCAAAACTACGGACACGATCAGAAGGGGTGGACTTGTTGAGTGGAAGACTCGTTGGTACGGGTTTGTGAAAATATAAGGGAAAATATGTCAATGGTAACTTACATGGGGCACTATAACGCGTACGGTAACGATTTCAACGCGTTTGGTAACTCGCTTAACGCGTTTGGTAACTCGCTTAACACGTTTGGTAACTCGCTTAACGCGTATGGTAACTATACACTAGCAGCCCATCACGCGAATGGTAACTACATGAAACTCCCGCTAAAATGATTCTGGCAACAAGGAGTTTATCAACTTTGTCAGCTTTTATGCACAGTTTTTTTTAACAGGTCCCGCCGCAACTTTGAAGGACCCCGTTTGTTCTATTACCACAGGCCGATTAGTTTCAAAGCCGTTATAAGCTCGTAAAAAGGGTAAAAAACATATTTTTGATAGCGTGATTGCAAACTTGCAAACTAATTAAAAAATATTCCCCTAAAAGACTTTGAGGCTTTTACTTTTTTTTTTTAATTACTACAACGTTCCTAAATGTTTGCATGTGGGAATAATATACCTCTTTTAAATTACATGTTTGATTTTTAAAGAAATAACCATAAACGGCTTGTCGCAAGGAGTTTAGGGTTGATGCTCTCAAATTCATTTGCCATCTAAAGGGAGATTTTTTGCCCCGGCTGCATGACAGAATAAGTACAAACAGTTTGTGGAAAGAGCGCCAGATTATCAATGATGTATAAGAAGTTGTTTTCATAACACTTCTCTTTTTGCAATTTGCTTGTAAATCGGAAACTGTGTCAGGATTTCAGACAGTGTGTCAGAGTTTCGGAAAACTGTGTCAGAATTTTAGAGAGTGTGTCAGAAGTTTCTGCTTCAAGATTCGTCAATTTAATCTAACGCGAGCGGGAAAAAACAGAATCAGGGTCATTTTCGGCGGGAGTTTCATGTAGTTACCATTCGCGTGATGGGCTGCTAGTGTATAGTTACCATACGCGTTAAGCGAGTTACCAAACGTGTTAAACGAGTTACCAAACGCGTTAAGCGAGTTACCAAACGCGTTGAAATCGTTACCGTACGCGTTATAGTGCCCCATGTAAGTTACCATTGACATATTTTCCCAGAATATAACCCGCACACAATTTGACTAGTTGGTACGGGTTTGCGAAAGTATAACGCGCACACAAACGGACGTTTGGAAGGAATTACCCTGCCTCCAGCTAGATGTTCCCATCCCACCCGCCGACCAGCCCGGAATAGGGAGCCCTTTGCAACAGGCAGCAAAAGTAAGCGACATATGTTTCTAACACACAACACAAACCGTTGTGATAATGAGAACGAGAATGGATGCATGGAGCAGCATGAGGAGTACAAGTACCAAACCCTAAAGTGTTGTACCCCATGTAAGCTACCCCACTACAGCCTACACAGACTATAGTATATGAGTTTGACACACCCCCATAGGCAAAGTGGGGGAGAACAAGGGGTCACAAGACCAGTCAAGCAAAGCAAGGCAAAGCAAGCTCAGGGTGGATCATAACGTCACCACACATTCTGAGCACAAGTTCAAGGCCACAAGGCCAGTTCACATGCAAGATTACATATATATAACGCTAAACAAGCAAGAGCAGGTATATATATATGTAACAGTACAAGCAAGGTCAAGAAGTGAGCAAGTGAGGCAAGGTAGGCACAAGACCTAACAGAGTACAGAAGCGCTGATGATCACAAGGCGCGAGTGCCTTAGTGAAGATATCAGCAGTGTTGGCCTGAGAGGCCACGTAAGCAAGGCGCAGCTGACCACGCTGCTGCAGCTCACGAGCAAGGAAGTAGCGAAGAGCGATGTGCTTCGTTCTGTGCTCCAGTCTGTGCTCCCGACACAAGGCCAGCATGGCCTTGTTGTCTACGTACAGCACTGGAGGAGAACGAGGCGGCTCTCCCAGGTCAGTCAGCAGGTAGGTGAGCCAGCGTAGCTCCTGTGCAGCCATGGCCCCTGCGTAGATCTCAGCCTCACAACTGGAGCCGAGAACAGAAGACGAGCGGGTAGACCGCCACGAAACAGAGCCGGAACCAAGGCTGAAGGTGTAACCCTGTGACGACCGCTGCGTAGCCTGGTCGTCAGCCCAAGAAGCGTCTGCGTGACCAGTGAGGACCACTGGACTCTGCCCTCCAAGCACAAGCCCCATGCCCGACGTACTGCACAAGTAGCGCAACACCCTCTTCGCTGCAGCCATGTGCTCTGGTCTGTGTCTCCCAGGAGCAACATAGCGTGCCAGAATGCTAAGAGGGTATGCAAGGTCAGGTCGAGTGCAGGTCATCAGGTACATGAGGCAGCCAACAAGCTCTGGGTACGGGCCACTCGACTCTACGGACTCATCCGAAGGCAGAGCTGAGAGCGAGTGGCGTGTAGACAGAGGAGTGGCCTGAGGCGAGGAGTACGTGAAGCCAAAGCGCTGAAGGACCTGCTGCACCATGTGTAACTGAGTCAGGGTGATGGTGCGCTGTGCTCTGTCCCGGGTGATCTGCAAGCGTGTAGCTGCGCAGTTCACCCAGGTCTGTGCACGTGTGTCTCTTCTGCAGCTCGGACTTCACGTAGGCGAGTCCAGCAGTGTCAGCTGTAGCAAAGACCAAGTCGTCGACGTACACGAGGATGTAGAACGGCGGCAAAGAAGTGTCGGTGCGCAGAAACAGCGACGGGTCGGCAGTAGAAGGAGCAAACCCAAGAGCCGCAAGTGTAGTCCTCAGTGTGTCGTGCCACTCACGAGGTGCCTGGCGGAGACCGTAGACTGGCCACCGGAGGCTCCACTGGGTGCCAGGAGGAAAAGTCCCAGTGAAGCCAGGTGGGCGGCGCAGCCAGATCTCCTCGTACAGGCTGCCCTGCAAGAAAGCAGTGCTGAAGTCAAGAGAGTGCAGCTCGTAGTCTCGGTGAGCGGCTATGTGCAGCAGTACCCGAAGAGTGGTCATCTTC